TTGGGAGCCCCGGCCCAGAGATGGGAGCAGTACTCCACGCGAGGCCGGACTTGTGCTTTATAAAGCAAAAGCCTTTGTCCAGGCGTGAAGTACCGCTTCGCTCTGTTGAGGACTCCCAGCATTTTGGACGCCAACTTGGCTTTGCCTTCCAAATGACTCCGAAACTGGACATCGCTCGAAATGTCGACCCCAAGTATCCCAATACTCTCGGAAGGTTGCAGGGATACTCCTTGGAATTGCGGCGCCATGACAAAGGGGTCCTTCTTCGCAGTGAACGCGCAAACTTGTGTCTTTAACGGGTTGAATTGAACCAAGTTCAATTCACCCCATTTGGAGACTCGCCCCAGAGAGTTCTCCACTTCAGACACAAGTTTTGATCGTCTCTCTTGCACCACGCTCCGAGAGAGACTCTGATGGCCGATATATCGCGCATCCCCCGTGCTGTCATCCGCATAGCAATGCATGCCATCAATAGACAGCATGTCATTGATATACAGGATGAAAAGCGTGGGGGAGAGCACCGAACCTTGTGGAACGCCAGCGTTAATGGTCATGGTATCAGAACAGTCACCGTCTACAACGACCGTGATGCTCCGCCCATCCAAAAAGCTAGCGATCCACTTGCAGAGACCCTCGGGGATTCCGTAAGATGGTAACTTCGATAGAAGTGCCCTATGCCAGACCCTGTCGAAGGCCTTCGCGATATCAAGGCTCACAGCAAGAGCCTCGCCCTTGCTCTCCAAGGCTTCAGCCCACCTGTGAGTAAGGTATACAAGAAGATCGCCAGCTGAGCGACCGTGACGGAAACCGTACTGTCGGTCACTGATCAGCTGGCGATCTTCAAGATACTTCAGGAGTTGTGTATTTATAATTCGCTCCATCACCTTGGAAAGCAAGGAAGTTATCGCGATAGGCCTGTAGCTCGATGGGTCCGACCGGTCACCCTTCTTGGGGATAGGGTGGACGTGGGCGGTCTTCCATGAAGACGGAACCCTGTTAGTGCAATAAGAGAGGCGATACAAACGCGTTAGCGCAGGTGTCAGCTCAGGGGCGCACGTTTTCAAAACCACTGCGGGGATGCCGTCTGGCCCACTCGACTTATGGACGTCCAGGAGTCTGAGCTCCCGCCTGACTGCACACTGTGTGAAGCAGATTTCCGGCAGGGAGCTATCACACCGGGGGATGTTCGGTGGTGTGGCACCCCCGTCGTCCACAGTCGAGTTCGAGGCGAAGAGTTTGACCAGAAGGTCAGCCTTCTCTTTCGCGCTGTGGGCCAGATTGTCATCGGACTTGCGCAGTGGTGGGAGACTAGACCTGCAGAAGTTTCCTTCTGCAGCTTTGGCGAGCGACCAAAAAGCACGGCTCCCGGAGGGATAGCTCTTCAATCGCTCGCCAACTCTAGCGACGTGCTCCGACTTCGCCTTGGCAATTACCTTCTTGTAGGACCTGGAAGCGGCGTTATATTTCCGCCTTTCCCCTGAGATGTTAGGATCCCGACGTCTCCTGGCATTATCCCATGCCACGTATGCGGACCGCTTGAGGTGTGCAGCATCCCTGCTGGCATTGTTATACCAGGGTCTGCTGCGACCCCCAACGGGCACTTCAGAGGAGGGAATAAACAATTCCATCCCCTGGAGCACCACGTCTTTAAGACGGTCCGCACAGACGTCAGGATCAGCAGAGGAAAAGCAGAACCGCCCCCATGGGTAGGATGCGTAAAATTCACGCAATCCATCCCAATCTGCTGACATATACCGCCAAACTCTTCGATACCCGGTCGTCGTTCGACGATCAGGACGAGAGAGTGGTACGGCAGCACGAATAAGGCAGTGATCAGACGATCCAAGCGGAGCGTCGACCACCACACTGTATCCGGCCGGATCTGTGGTCAGCAGAAGGTCCAACAAAGAAGGCTCGTGCCCCTCGATATCTGGGACACGGGTGGGCTGTGTCACCAGCTGGGAGAAGCCGTAGGCCAAGGCGAAATCGTAGGCAGTCCGACCCGGGAGGTCAGTGGTTCTGGACCCCAACCACTCTTGGTGGTGAGCGTTAAAGTCTCCAAGAACCACCACCTCCGCAGATGGGTACTGCTCAAGCACGCGGTTAGTCCCCTCTTGCACATGCTCAAACAGAGCTGAACCTGCATCACTGCTGTGGGACCTGTACAGGCACGCGTAGATTCGGCTACGGCCCCCGTGATCTACGCGCAGCCACAAGAGGGACAGGTCCCGTTGTTCGAGGCCCCGAAGACGGCGACAACAGACATCAGCCCGGACGAATACGCACACCCCGGCTTTACGCAGGAAGTTGTGCTCCAATACGTAGCCGGGGTACTCAAGGTATGAGGTATCATCCGGAGCAGATATCTGTGTCTCCGTTAAAAAAAGCAGGGCAGGCTGCGCCGTCTCAAGGTGGTGGTGTACGGCGTCAAGGTTGCTATGTAGGCCCCTGACATTGCTGAAATCCACATTAAATGTGGAATGGGGAACCGCCTGTGAAACCCTTTTCTTTTTTTTTGTCGACTTCATAGTTGTTCAATTTTCGGAGAGTAGGATTAGGAGAGGTAGGATGTTGGAGGTGAGACCGAGGCAACACCTGAATGAAGCGCGGAACATAGTACGTGCTCGACCACGGATTGCGTGAGAGACCGACGCAGGGCATGGAAGGGCCCCCAGTCCACTCTGCATGCGATCGCCGGGATCCACTCCGGTCTCCGACTCCGGCACGACGACCGCACGACAGGATTTTACACCGGTTGGCGGGACAGCTTCCCGGGGCGGAGTTTAGTAGAGACACCCGGGTTCAGGTCCCCTACTGACCGGCGGGCGGCAGCGGGTACCGTTTCACTGGGTCTCCCTATACCCCCGTCAAACAATCACGCCCCGTGAGTTCGCACGCACGTCTGCTCCGCAAGTTCCAGGCGTCACCAAGACTCACCCCCAACAAGGAAGGGGAAAGGGAAGGGATAGAACTGGCTCTCCAACCCACACGCCGGAACACAGCTAGGCTATTTGGCGGCGGACTCTAGTTGGAGGGTGGTCGCCAGCCAGTCGGACTAGGTCCTACCACCGGTTATGTTTTCGGCTCCCGTTTAGCACCACCCAGGGGTCACTTGTAGGGAATCGCGGGTTAAACCTACGGAAGCGGGAAGCACCAACCCCCAAAGTTCCTTCAAGTTTTTATTTTTATTTTTAAAATAACAATAATGTTTCGTAAAAACTTTGAGAATCATAAAAATTTAACGGCCCTGTCAAAATGTGAACTTTTTTTATAGGTTTTTATTTACATGCAGTTTTTCAATCTCCACATATTCAAAATTTAGTTTCACGACTATGAAGAAATATTTGTATGTACTACGTAGTAACACATATAGTTTACTATATTTTTCTAATGAATCAAAAGGATGACTAGAACTACCTCTTTACATTTGATCAATAAAATCCTTCATTCGACCTAAAGGTACTCGATCTAATTGTATTTTTTTCTTTCATTTGATATCCGAGAAATCAATCAATTTATTTATTATAAAAAAAAGAACAAAATATTCCTAACCTAAAAGTACATGTTATTATCCGCAACATGCTTCGTCAGATTACAGAAATAAAGATAACAGCAACATGCTTCGTCAAAAAGTACAATACTTACTTTCAGCTGCAAGCGTCGTCATAACTACGCTTACATACTTACTTTACATTTGGAAACACTGACCATAGATGTACATACATAGACCCTTGCTGTGTGAATCACAATTTCAGACCCCCGATTTATTATAAATTTAAAGTGGTCCATGCCATTTTGATATTTTAAACTCGACATCGCATTTAAACTCCGTCAAACGACACGACAATGGAAGCGATCAATTAAATAATTTCCCGACTTATTATTTCCTCCGAATACCGAATTGGTTAGCGTAAATACGCGATATTAAATTAACAATAACGTTCATCCCCCGGGAACGGGCAGAGACAGCGAGAGAATGAAAAACGAAGGAAAATTTCATTTAAATAATTGCTAAAATTGTCGGCACGCTTCCCTGGTAACAATTTATCTGAGGCGTTTCAATAATCTACTGCTAATTTCTAAAATTTCTCGATTGTTCAAAACATTAAATTGAAACATGTTTTGTTGTTTCATAGAAAAGTAAGCTATAACTATTACCCTTTTGTTTTCCTGAGACTTAGTAACAATATCCGATAAACAATCAGCGAGCGATCGCTAAATAATGCTATTAAAATTACGCTCTACATCAATCGTTACTTAACAATCAAATAGATAAACAATAGTAGAATAAATACTGTAATGAACAGAATATCTATATTTTACGTTATTATTAAATGCACTTCGGTTTTTAATACGCTTTTATTAGCTTCAAACGTATGTATGTTAGTATGTAACGGAATCTTTGAACATGATTTTGATCCCCTTCAAAACGTCAGATTAACTCGAAAGTTGGTATACTTATTAAGGACAGATGATAATTCAATATTTAAAAAAATATATTGAAAAAATTGAAATTAAACTAAAAAATGAAAAATAAATTAGAGTTTAACAAAACTAAAAAAAATACGCTTTTATAGAAAATCCAACTCAAAAATAGAAAACAAATTTTAATAAATTTCAATTAAAAATAGTGTAAGGAAAAATGATTTTATTGTAAAAAAAAGCGTGGGGTGCATGGTATCAGTAGTTATAAATATTTTATGAACAGATATGAGTAGAAGGGTTATTTTGATGATACCTGAAAAGCACCCCACGGTTTTTTACAATAAAATCCTTTTTCTTACACTATTTTTAATTCTAATTTATTAAAATGTATTTGTATTTTTTAGTTGGATTTTGTATAAAAGCGTATTTTGTTAGTTTTTTTAAACTATTATTTATATTAAAAGCCGCTTCTGTCCCGCTCTTAAGGCACAAAAGCAATTCCTTGGTCGCTATAACGACGGACAGCCCCACTGTTTATGAGCCGAACTCTGCACGAGAAGCAGTAACGCACCACCTTCGAGCCCGACAACCCACAATTCGCCATGAAAATCGAACGATACAATGCTTTAGTCAAACAAAAAAATAAATAAATTTCAAATTCAGAATTTAAAAGATTGTGGCGATTTCACATAATATGTTCCAATTACAATATAACGATGAGACTTTTAAAATTTAAATACAGAATTACGTGAATAACGGATATTTTGACAATGTTGAACATAATAGTGTTGTTATTGCAAACGACTTTTATACTGGCAAGGGAGCCGAAACAAGTGACTTTGGTCAATCAAGGTACAATATCTGGAATGTACATTACGAGGTTTCGTACTAAACGTGTGGCCGCTTACGTTGGCGTTCCGTATGCTCAACCGCCGGTTGAATTTCGAAGATTTGCTGCTCCGGAAATCGCGAATCTGCCACAGTGGGAGGGCGTCAGGAATGCAACAATATTCGCGCCGGATTGCATGCAGAGGGTTCTTAAGAAAGAAGACTTGCAGAATCCATTGAAGAAGCACGATGAATTGTTTATGAAGCTACTAGAATCGCAGATGGAGGAGCCTAGGGAGAAAGAGTATTCGGAAGACTGTTTATACCTCAATGTCTACGTGCCTGATGGTGAGTAATTTCTGAATCATATATTGTGGCTGATTTGAAAATATCGATTTAATGAAGGTAATAAAAACGAAATTAAATTTAATGGTTACAAATATTTCGGTTAGTGAATAGATTTTTGCAATGAGAGGAAATACAAATTGGGTTTCGATTGGATCAATGCAAGATATTCCTTTGCTTAACCCCTAGAGTATTCACAATAAGGTATTGTTTTATTACCAGTCGATATACCTAAATCATCTATTATTGCCATGATTTTTCTTTCATAAATTTTCTCCATTAGAATTAGGGAATTTCTTCTAAAATTAACAAAATCTCTTCTTCTTTCGCCTTTCTTAGACAATTTACAAACCCATTCACCCACTTGAACCAATTTCGAAAAAGGAACATATGTAATTTACATATTTTATCACACGACGATTGTATTTCAATCCGAACCGCAGGACTCTCTTTCGTAATTAATTAGTTCTAGAGGTGTCTTTGATTTTGTTTTTTTTTAATCTTTCGATATATGAAAATTTAAAATTTGTTGTAAGCTTTCTTATGATAAAGTTCGAATAACAGAACCGGATATAAGAACGGTTGATGTTAAAGAAACGCTTAAAGAAGAAACAGGAAAAGCTCCTCCCTATGGCAAACTAAAATATTTTTCATAACATTTTTAACAAAATTACTTAAAAGCTAAAGTCCTAGCTCGGACAACTCTTTGAAGAAGCGCTTACTTCAACATTAAATGAAAGCTCTGAAGCTAAGTAAATAATTAAAGAGGAAAATGTCTGTCATAATACTTAATTTGCTCCAACAAAATTTAATATAAAATTGCTTTGAAATAAAAAGTACATTTCTACAGTTTTCAATATATACTCTCTGTTCAAACGACTTGTAGCTATTTATGCATGTATTTCCTTCGGTATTTGCTAGTTGTACAAATAATTGAATTTACGCTTATATAATATGTATGTCGCGTTAACATTATTTTCAATTATTTGTACCTATCAACCTTTTTTTATTGTTTAGATGGGTGGACGAGCTCACAGCCGAGGTTTTAATAACGGCTGTCACATTCTTCAAACAGGAACGTATTACTTTCGCGTTGTGCTTACTCGAATAGGCTCAAACACCCTCCGGGCGTAGCTGGATTAGGCCCCTAGGCTACCAACGAAAAAAAAGGCTCAAAAGACGATTTACCTCCTGAAATTACGGACGGTATAATTATTTTTCTTTTTTTATTGTTTATATGGGTGGATGAGTTCACAGCCTACCTGGTGCTAAGTTACTAGAGCCCATAGACATCTACAGCGTAAATGCCGTCATCTACTTTGAGATAATATGAGTTCTAAGGTCACAGTATAGTTACAACGGCTGCCCCACGCTTCAAACCGAAACGCATTACTGCTTCACGGCAGAAATAGGCAGTGTGGTGGTACCTACCCGTGCGGACTCACAAGAGGTCCTACCACCAGTAATTACGTAAATTATAATTTTGCGGGTTTGATTTTTATATGTAGTATAACTTATTAAGGCTACTCAGATTCCTACCTATATTTTTTTTTGCATTTATCGTCCAAAGTAACGAAAAAACTACCATATTTTTAATTCATGGCAAAATATGTATTAGTCATTTTATTTTTCTACACTCCTGACTTCGGAGGGTAAATCCGTGACAAATTATGTGTTACATCGATCATCCGAGTACTGGCTTGTCGCGCGGAAAGGAATGCTTATTTATCACTTTTTCTCTTGCTGGCAACATTTCTCGCATTTCATTGAACTCGCTTACGGTATAGCGTCATCACTTTATTACAGGATTTGTGTGAGGAAAAACATTTTCAGAAGAAAACTATGATCTCACCACAGAGATCAAGCGGAAGCTTACTGAATATATAAACATTTCATGTAAAACACATAATACAAGTGAGAATTGAATGTTAACTTCAGGTTGGCTGAGAACTAGTTCGCTTATTTGGTGAATAAAACAGAAATCGTCTCTAACAAAATTGGTAAGAACGGAAATTATGAAAAGTGTGTAGAATGAAGCGTTAAGATCTGAGTGAAAGAAAACGGTAAGAAAGGCAAAAGATAATGACAGATAAAAGCAAGATAGCGATAGACGATTGAAGAACAAAGCGTAGAAAAGGTATCAGATAATTATTAATATAATAGAGAAGATTTGAAAAGTGAACAATAATTTTTTTAATATAATAGAGAAAATTTGAGAAGAGAACAATAAAAGTGCAATAATGGAACAATCTTACTGTATGTGCCACAGTCCTAATCCTACATAAATTTAACATTAATTTAGAAAAAAATCAAAATCCGAAAGTCTATATAATCCAAGCCATTAATCACTGACTCGAAAATCCAATTCAACTGAATACCGTGTTTTTTTTACAATATATTTCGAACTGGTTAAGTTCTTTTACGAACTAAGTACATGCCTAGAAGGAATATCGGGTCCTTCATTAACCCAGTTTTCGGTACCGACTTCGGGCGGGATCTGATAAGAAAGTCATTTCTGGCCACGTGTGGGGTGCGGAGGTGCTTGTTGCCATTCCCCTTCGATCGTCTTCAATTCGCATAATTTAGGCTGCTTCCTATACAATAAATCATATTTACCTCCCTCGCGACAATTTCAGAATGAAATAAAACATTCCGGGCGGAATTAAACGTAATTCTTCAACATTTGGAATCGATTTTTTTTATTGCTTACATGAGTGGACGAGCTCACAGCCCACCTGGTGTTAAGTGGTTACTGGAGCCCATAGACATCTATGACGTAAATGCGCCACCCACCTTGAGATATAAGTTCTAAGATCTCAGTATAGCTACAACGGCTGCCCCATCCTTCAAACCGCACCGCATTACTGCTTCACGGCAGAAATAGGCAGGGTGGTGGTACCTACCCGCGCGGACTCACAAGAGGTCCTACCACCAGTAAGCGAAAATAAATCGGAGGCTCGTTTTTAAAAACAGATTTCCATTGAAACCTTTCACATGTTTGCTTGCTAAAAATTTAAATCCCCAACATTTAACTGTGGCTTGTTATTATTACCATATTAGATATTTATATGGTGGTTTTCTCGAATAAAAACTTCTGAATTTTAAATCTACTCAACAGCGTAATAATTTAATTTATCTATATAAAACATATATATTAATTGTTTTTGTAGATTGAAACGGAAAACCAGTGTAATATTAGTCAAAATTCTTTTAAAATCTTATTTACTGTAAGTAGCTGCCGGCCAACGCAATGACATTTGCCATTTCGAAGACGGCAACACTGCAAGTAATGGCGGTCATTTATCGGCTGACGGTTACGTATGGCTTGTACGTCAGTCGTGAAGTACGGAATCGATTTGAGGTAAAATATTGCAGGTTTTACTGCCTTAACCAGTTTAAAGCAGGTCGGGGCTTGGAAAAGTAAGGAAAAGTAAGGATGAATTCTTTAATTAGATGAATATTTACGTTAAAATTCAACGTCAATAAAATTTTATTAACACATTGACTGTAATGTAGGCCACGGGTGCCCTACGTGGCGCACTGAAGTATTTTTTTTCGATTTCTATTACTAAGCTGTTTTACCTGTTGTGAGTCCGCGCGGGTGGGTACCACCACCCTGCCTATTTCTGCCATGAAGCAGTAATGCGTTTCGGTTTGAAGGGTGGGGCAACCGTTGTAACTTACTTGAGACCTTAGAACTTATATCTCAAGGTGGGTGGCGCATTTGCGTTGTGTATGTCTATGGGCTCTAGTAACCACTTAACACCAGGTGGGCTGTGAGCTCGTCCACCCATCTAAGCAATAAAAAAAAAGCGTCTGGATTGCCTAACTTTGCCTTCTTTTGTTTGTTAATGTATGTTTTAGTCTTTTAGATCTCTTAGAAATAGATTCATTCTCAGAATCTTCGGATTCGTCTTTCCCAGAGTCTAGTAGATATTCCGGCGCCTTAATAAGAAGATCGAACAGAGAAATCGACATGATTACTTCAGTGCGCCATGTGGGGCACCGGGAAACTACATGGCAGTCAACGTGTTAAATAAATAATAGTTTAAAAAAACTAACAAAATACGAATTTCAAGTTTTTTAATTATTATTTTTTCAAATTTTTTTTTAATATTGAATTGTCATCGGTCCTTAATAAGTATACCAAATTTCGAGTTAATCCGACGTTTTGAAGGGGGTCAAAATCATGTTCAAAGATTCAGTTACAAACGTACATACATACATTTGTCTGAAGCTAATAAAAGCGTATTAATCATAAAAATGGAACGTCTAAAAGTAACTCCACCTGTGTGTCTGAAGTCGTTATAAGACTGTACCGTAGTACTATCGGATGATGCGAACCGTTGCTGAAATCCAGCATGCAGCTAACATTCTAATAAAATAAATACTTAACATGTTCACGAGCAATTCTAACGATGACCTGACATCTAGTACAGATTATTACTTAAAGTCGTCGTGGCCCAAAGTCAAAGTAAGACCACCGGTGCAGTGTTCGAATCCCGCAGGCGGGTATCAATTTTTCATAATGAAATACGTACTTAACAAATATTCACGATTGACTTCCACGGTGAAGGAATAACATCGTGTAATTAAAAATCAAACCCGCAAAATTATAATTTGCGTAATTACTGGTGGTAGGACCTCTTGTGAGTTCGCGTGGATAGGTACTACCACCCCGCCTATTTCTACCGTGAAGCACTAATGCGTTTCGGTTTGAAGAGTGGGGCAGCCGCTGTCATTATACTGAGACCTTAGAACTTATATCTCATGTTGGGTGGCGTATTTACGTTGTAGATGTCTATGGGCTCCAGTAATACTTAACATCAGGTGGGCTGTGAGCTAGTCCACCCATATAAGCAATAAAAAAAAAAAAAAAAAGAATTATACCGTCCGTAATTTCAGGAGGTAAATCGTCTTTTGAGCCTTTTTTTTCGTTGGTAGCCTAGGGGCCTAATCCAGCTACGCCCGGAGGGTGTTTGAGCCTATTCGAGTAAGCACAACGCGAAAG